AATGACTTTAGTGTCGCGCTTTATCCCATGAATAAGATTGTGGCAATAGCTTTGATGTCAAGGTTTTGCTAATACCTGAACGACTTTAGTCGAAACAATTAGAATTCAGTAGAAACATGAGGTTCAAGGCTCTACTGCCTCGATCTTAGTAGCGGGGCACTAGCTCTGGGTTTTCATCCCCTATGGACCGACGCACCACGGCTTCGAAAACGGTCTGCCTGCTGTGTTTCTGTAGTTGCCCTGCGTCCCAGGGTTTAGCGTCCTCGCTGTTAGCGCACCGCGTAGCCGCGTACCCGCAAGAGTACGCCGCCCCTGCTTTCTCCAGTGCGACCTCTAACGTCGCGAGGGCCCGTCGCCCCCGCGTACATGGAATAATAATTACCGAATCATCGGTAAAAGTAAACCGATGTACATAAGTGTCCGACACTTCGTCGAACAGCAACTCGTGTTTGGACACGAGTCGCGAGGCGACGGAACACCCGCGACAGGTCGCACAGCTGCAGGAAGGCGCCATACCAAAGAATGATTAGATTACCGAATCTAAGAAAGTAAAAAGACAACTGAAGACTCGGGAATGCAAGAGACTGCGTCAAACGACGGTCACGGAAATTTGAGTCACGAGGCCACTTCGTGCAGGCAAAGTAAACGATGTAATTACTAAACCCGAGGTCTGGAAAGTGGAGATCGGTGTAAGAGAATCGTTCCGCGATTAGGTAATCTAAATAGCATAACAAGATGCTATTTCACTATTTGGCGCTACTGAAATCCGACTACTATAAGATTGTGGTAAGCGGGAATGGGCAGCCTTAGAAACCATCTGAACCTGCTGGGCATTAGGAGTCTCAGTGTAAACGCGGGAACAACAGCCGCGGCGTATTAAGTAGCACTGAAGTGATGATCTGGAAGTCAGGAATTTGAACGCTCAGTGCCGATAGGCATATTCCCTCAGCCACTATGTAACAGAGAGCAAGACTTACAGACACGAGGCTCAGTGCGATGATCTGGAAGTCAGGAATTTGAACACTCAGTGCCGATAGGCATATTCCCTCAGCCACTATGTAACAGAGAGCAAGACTTACAGACACGAGGCTAGCGTAGCAAATCTCGTTAATCGTTGTAAAGGTCACTCGAGCGCTAGGTGACTGTTTTCCCTCGCCCTCTGGTCAGGTAGATCGTTTGGCATGTAACACAGAACACGCATTACAGATACTTGCTCGTGCTGCGCATCGCTCAGAAGTGCTCGCAGTCTACGTGCCCTCAACTTGACGCCGCGCTCTCACTCATTGGCTGCGCTAAGTAGACAAGTCACGCGTCTTTTCTTGCTGGTAACAGAACAGCACATCGCTGAGTACTGAGCGTCAGACACGCCCTATTCCCAGTGAATAAGGTTGCGGATAATGTCGCAAATGTCAATGCCCACTAATATCTAAAAGCTACTGAATTCGTAGCGCTAGAAATCAGTGAATAAAGTAATTTTGGGTGTTTAGTACCCGGAGGCACTAAGTATCAAGGTCAAAGATGTCGGTGCTGTAATGTTTTCGACATGTAGAGTTGCCAATTTTGTGCCCGCGACAATACTAGCAGCGCATGCTGGCAGGTCGAGTATGGTCCGTATATGTATAGTCTTTAATATCTGACTGCAAGCAACTGCTTAGTGAACAACAGCTAACCTGTAATGGCTTAGTCACGTATCTGTATCTCAATGAATACCATAGTCCCGTGTGTGACCTCTTTATCTCGAGAATAAGAATGTGGTAATGACTTTAGTGTCACGTAAGAATGCACCAGTGATCATGTTGTTAGATTTATGTCTTACAATTTAATACTATTACACATGTATGATTAATTATCTTGTGAAGCAGGCTGCGCATAGGCAGTGCAGAACCAGCGCCCAGATAAGAGTAGAAAGCATCTAATACGTAGTCCCCAGAATTCAACAACACGAAAGCGTCTATTTCCCGTTACCCAGACTCTAATACTGAGGCACCAATTCTGGGTTGGCATTCTCAACGATGCGACGAGCCGCCGCTTCGAAGACGGTCTGCCGGTTAAGGCCTTCCAGTGAACCATCATCCCACGGCTTAGCGCCGTCACTCGTAGCGCAGCGCGTGGCGGCGTATCCACAGCCGTACGCCGCTCCCGAAGTCTCCAGCGCCAATTCCAGCGCCGGTAACGCCCGACGTCCACGCGTCGACGGGATGATTATCACCGAATCGTCAGCAAAATCGAAACGATGAATATACGTATAGGATGCGTCACAATACAGCAACTGGTGTTTGCAAATCAGGCGCGCGGTGACCCCACTCCCGCGGCACGTGGAGCAGTTACAACTAGGCGCCATGTTATGTAATTCAATTACCGAATCTCTAAAGATTATAATTAATCAGAGATAGGGTAAGTGCAATAACTCGTGTGAGCTCCTGGCTAATCAGACCGCGCTACTTACGAAGAAAGGTAAGTCAGTTTGATTCTTACCTAAACTTAGTAAAAAGAGTGCTTACCCGAGATGTGGTAATTGATGGTGAAGTAACTGGATTAACGCTACTGAGTCGCGAGTTGCGGCGCCTGTTCGAAGAAACGAGCCTGCGAACGAATTACCCAATCTAAGTAGAAAGGAGAAAGGATGTTGAACTCCGGACTACAAGCACTAAGGAACGGAAACGGTATGAGTTACTGCGGGAGCATACTAAGGGGGAGCCAGAGCAAGCAATTCTTATATCTAGCGAACCTGTCAGCGAGTGTCTGAACGCAGTAGTGGCAATTGCGTAATTACTAGAACAGTTACCTGGAATCACTACAAGTCCATATACCGCGTGAATAACCTAGTCGCTCAATGTTCTCGCCACATAACAGAGAAAAGGAATACAGAGTCTACGCAACGTAGCACACCTCACAAGTGTCAATGTGGTTTATGCAGGCCTCTGTGGACCGCTGTGTTGGTCCTCAGTTAATGCTGGTAAATCACTCACCACGGAACAGAGAACACGAATTGCAGGCATTGACAGAAGTCAACGGTGCATAATATCAGAAATCGTTATAATGTCTTTCACGCTGTAGCTGACGTCTCTCACCCTCTGGCCTTGTAATTCATTTACCATGTAATAGAAGCAAGATTTACAGACACGGTGCTAGCGCAACAAAGCTCTTTCATCGCTATGCAGGTCACTCGAGTACTAGTTGACTGTTTGCCCCTCCCCCTCTGGTCATCTAAATCTTTTGGCATGTAACACAGAACACGCATTACAGATACCTTGCTCACACGGCGTATCGATAACAAACTCTCGCGGGAGATGTGGCCTTAACTTGACGCCGCGCACTCACTCATTGGGTACGCTAACTAGACAAGTCACGCGCCTTTTTTCGTCGGTAACAGAACGCCCGCCGCTCAGTACTGAGCAACAGACACGACCTATTAGGCATGTAGAGTCAGCAATTGACGTCGTGTAGCTATGGCTATGTATGTAGCCAATAGGCACGCTCGTGTAATGAACAACAATGTGCCAGCAACTATAAATCAGGCGTTGAATTCCAAGATCTTAGACGAGTGCGCGAGGGTCACCGTATCTGTATAGCGCTAGCAGTGGGCACAAATAACGGCACTGATAAACGAGACATGCTTAACCCGATTACCTCATTAATTGCAACTGTATATCCCACGCCTGACTAGTTGTCGATTTGAGCCTCGTAACAGTATGCCGCACCGAATTTCGCATGGCGGAACTCGTGGCGCTGGTGCAACGCGCGCGACATGCAGTACCCGCATGGGTGTATTTGGTCTCTCTTGTCTCCGGTGTCAACGCGCGTTTTTGCTTCTACGCGTAGTTCCCTGAGATCCATTTGTTCGATTTCCCGGTCACACACATCTTGAGACGAATACTCATACGAAGATTTTACGGGTACAAGGCGAAGAGGCCGCGCTGCAGTCAGCCAGATCGGTGCGTCTCCTTCAAATTCCGTTATGTCAAAGGTCTGGTTCTGTGGAAGTCCCAAGGTAAGGGACGTGGTTGTGCACAGTTCCTTGAATTGACCCCATGCTCCAAGGCCCAACCACGCATGCAGACGCTCGATGCTCATATCGTCCAGCAACATGCATGATTTCTGAGGTGCGGCATTCGCCAATCCCAGAAATGGAAATCTGGACCCGTTCGTCGCGTTGCGGAAATACCGCTTCTAAATTAGAGACGTCTACAGGTGTAAGGATAGAGGTCGATCATACACTAATTGGGGCCATAATCCGAGAACGTTTTTAATCGCATCCATTGCCCACGATTTCCCGCAGCCCGATTTACCATGGAGAACGAGTAAATTGCCTCGGCGACGGCCGTCGCGTGCCCAGTCAAACAATATGTCTAGCCATATGTCAAGACATCGCGCAGTGCACGCACGTGCCGCGTATTGCGGTGGAAAGTCCAGCAGAGTACACCACTGAGTTAAAGCCGGCAGAAATTTTCCTCCACATTTGCACTGTAACGGTTCCGGCGGAGCGCGCAGAAGATCCACGAGCGGGTAATAGCGATAGTTTTTTGCGTCGATCTCTTCACAGGCGCGGTTGATTTTAATTTTGGCGCTTTGGCGGCCGTCGCACGCGAATGCCCGCATCATAGCAGCATGGTCCGCAGTCGATTGCAGCAACGTCTGTAGCAGTCGAATATCATGCAACTCAATGAAATCCCGGAATTGGTGCCACGTAACCATGACGCTGCCGGCAGCATCTGACGCGTTGGCGGCCAGCTCCTCGCGATATGAGCAACCACCCAGGCTCTAGATTGCGGCACCCAATCCAACGCTTTGGATTTGTGCCTAGTCCTAGAGCCATAGAACAGTCTGCGGCGTAACGTCGTCCGCGCACCAGGGTAGCGGTCGCCCGATCATGTTAGCGCGATTCTTCTTTTTACTGGGAACAGCAATGTAGTGCACAGCCGGGTCGAAACACATTGTCGTAAAGTGCACGGCATAGCCCTTACGTCGTAAGTCTTTTGCCAATTGCCGCCACCGAAAATGATTACCGCCATCCCGCGCGTTGGAGCCTGTGGTTACTGCCGCGTGGTAGTGGAGTGTATTAGTAGACGGGCATTGCTCCAACCCCGTTACGATGCGCTTGGGTTTATACCCGCGCTCAATCATACCAGTGCGCAACACTCCTGTAAATTCACTGCGGCTTGAGTTAACAGGGCTCTGGAGATGTGGTTCTTCCAGTAACTTGCGGGCCGATGGCGTTGGCCACGTGACTAGGTAGCTCGTGGACCCCCGCCCGGTTCGTTGGTCTGGGCCACACCAGTCGAGATTGTACACGTTTACTAATCCAAAGTCATAGGCTCGCGTATCCGGGTGTGTATAAAGATTATTATCGAAGTACGTGTCCTGAATGCACCGCGGTAATGGTGGATCCGGTATGTGGGCAGCGCCGACAGCAGCCGCCGATTCGTCATTTTCGCTTTGTCTAACGTCTAAATTCCCAGGTTGTCCCGGGATTGTAAACGGCAAATGAGACGGGATCATATTGAAAGATATGATACGATACAGACAACGGCTAACGGCCCATGGGCCCCTGCAATTTTCGGACACAGGTAGCAAGTCTTAGTAACCGAGATCACGCAGTGATTTAGTGTTGGCCACATGCGATATTACTGAACAAACCTGTCTCAATATTACCCCCAGACTAGGGCGTTTATCAAAGATCATTGTTCGCACTGCTTGAATCAAGACGCAACACCCGCACATAGTCATATTAGCTGCAGACATAGTATTTTGGTCAAGACACTGATTTGCGCCACGTAGGCGTAGCCGACGAATGTTAGACACCGGCTCTCATTCGCTGGACATCTATAACCCGCCTGATGCCGCTTGCTGGGTTCGCGGCACAAGTAAGGGCAGGGTAATCTTAATCGGGTGCACCGTCTGACGCTCCAGGTCACGAGCTAAGTGCTCTGCCGTGTACATTCCGTAGCGGATCGTGGTGTGCAAATAGGCCTGCACCGGTTCGGCGGACACACGATAAAGGTTCCCAAGATCGTCTAGCAAACTGCATATCTGTATTGTTGTAGCAAGGATAGGGTTGACCAGGTGCGTGTCTCTAGCTCCTGCACATATACCAAATGCCTAAGATGAAATACCTCTTTGCCTGTGTCCCGCGATTCTATGCCTGCTGTTTCTGTGCCTAGGCCGCACAACTTTAATCCTGGCACAATAGTCACGGCCGGCAGTTCCGCGAATTCAGTCCCATTTTCGTTAGCCGCGCTTCCCATGTTGGCGGATCCGAGATTAGCCGTAGCGGGATTGGATAACTCCTCCGCGGCAAGCTGAGTCAATAGATAACGTTGTTAAAGAAACGGCTATAAGCTAAGTCCAACAAGTAAGGCTGTAAAGGCTAATTTGTTATACTACCTCGTCTGGAGCGCTGAGTTGGTGGGGAAGAACAATATTGCTGCCGACACGTAACCGGGGGCCATACTTCATAGACGCGCATTCGTCAAGTACCCAGAGGCAGGTGCTGCGGAGATGTCCGTGAAAACTGGCTAGTGCCAACGGCATAGACTGTAGAAATGTTTGTCGAGAAACGGTGACGACTGTAGGGCTCACTGCAAGGATGTTGCCAAAAGGGTCATGTCTTAAGATGAATGCTAAACCAAACACGGGTATATCTACCATATCCACATCCTCCGCCCATCTGCCAAGGTAAACAGTGCGTCCGTTAACCGATTCACTCGGACGCATTGGAGCCAAGCCCGTCTTCTCCAGCAATCGATAGTCTAGTAGAAAATCACCAACGCGGTCCTGCGGCAAATGAGTAGCGGCCTGTATTTCGTCCACGGTTCTGGGGGCTGTTGCCAATAACTGGTCTACCGTTAAAGTATTGCTGGCACCTTTGCACAAAAGTGCAAGGATTTGCGACGTAGTTACTGCTGGCGTAGCCATTGCAGCTGGTAGGGCTTGAACTGGTAGAGTCATCGCGCGAACGTCTAACAGCGCAAAAGACTTTTCGGTTAGGATGGAGCAATACAGTAAAAATCACCAAGAGTAATTACCTAGATTGTAGTCCGTAGTGATGCGAACAAGACTTCTGCCGTTAAGAGCAGGGGCTATTAGGTCTGTAAGTGCTAGTTCTGCAATTGCCTGGACATTGTAATACAATTCAACACTCGAATCTTAGACCCGGATCTCGGAATGTAGGGATTGCGGTATAGTTTCAATTATAGGGACCTGTAGCCTTAGTCCGTAGTTACTAAATCAGCTTTGGCGTCGGCGCCAGTCCTTTTGATCCAACACCACAAGAACCTGAGATTACAATTACCGGATCATAGAAGACGGCTCGCATCCGGAGATTGGGTAATGGAGATACAGTAAGTCTGTTCAGACGCAGAGCTCGCGGACAGGCGACGCCGATAATTAGAATTCGGCGACCAGTCGTATGGGCC